GAAGATTCAGCACTATGCTGGCCTACTGCATCAGCCCCATCTTAAATCAAGTGAAGGAGGTTTAATTGGTTTCAATTTCAGGATAAATCAAGTACAGGTGCCACACTTATTACTCACTGAAATCAAACAATAAATTTTAAAGAGTTAGGACTGAAGGTTGCATGCCACTTTTCTTATTCTCTTTCTCAATCAGTAAACTGCAAAGCAGTCACTGAATTTTTGCAGTTATGATTAGTAAAAGAATTACAAAATAATTTTATAAATTTGGATATTTTGAAGATAAACTCATTTGAGAAAACCTGCAGCACTGTAAATAAATAAAATGAAATAACCCATCACTTCTCATCTTTTCCAACTTGGCTCTCTCCCCAAAGAAAATTAAAGGCCACTGTATCCTTGCTGGGGGTTATGAAGGTAAAGAAGCAACTCCGGAACCTCTCACCTGGAGTTAGGCCAAGATAAGTGGTGAATACAGAAGATCTACTTTTGGAGCACGTGAAAATGGAAAATGCATATCTAAGTAGTCACATGGACACTTCTAGGACAGAAAACGTAAGAGAAGGCATATTACACTATGTAAATAAAGTTTTCCTAACCACAACAACTATCAACCTAGTTTTAGCTGATCAAAGCATACAGTTAACAAATGAGAAACACTGCTTTCCCCATACAAATAGCAAAATGGATCAAGGTTTATTTTGTCCTCTCTGGCGAAGACAAATGTGAAACTCAGACATGGAAAATATGACCTACAGCTTCAAATTTGGAAAAGAACTGCCAACATATTAGCACCACATTTCATAAGACTCTTGAATTATGGAGAATTAGCCAACTTCATAAAGAATCATGATGTGCGAACAGAAATAAGGCAAGCTAAAGCCAATCTGCTGAAGATTTTACAGAAACAATAGACGTGAATACTGCAGAGACAAGGGAGTATAAATCCTGTATTTCATTAAAAAGCCAAAACCTCTTTGAAATCTCTGAGTACCAAATGGGTATAAAGTAATGTTTCAATAAAGCAGAGCTCCCATAAGTATCTGACCCACAGACATACAAATGTTCTAGTTCCAATGTAATGACTCATACACTTAAAATATAATGAGCTCCTGACAATTAAAAAGAATCTGCTGGATTTCTACTTTTAAATTGTGTGCTAAACCTGGTGTCCATTTGGACAAAGCTCCGTTTAGAATATTAACATCTGCTCTGGGTAGTATGGCTAAAATGTATTTTTTGCATGTGGATCTCAGCTAGTCACTGGAAAACCATGCTGGGACTGAAGCAAGCTGATGGGAATTTCAAAATGGCATTTACTTTCCACTACCACTATAATGAGAATGACTTAAAAGGAAAATTACAGAAAACCTCCAGCAAACAGAACCACCATCAATACACTGTTATTTTAAAGATGGTCAAAACCTAAATATTAAAATGACAAGTAGATTACACAAATTAGAACCAAACTCAGCAAAAATGACACATCTGGGGATCGGCTCATTAAGCACCGACAGTGAAAATAAACATGGTCAGGGACTCTGCGATTCACAGCATGACAATGAAGAAGCAGCATCCACATATTGTTGTGATCACAGTAGGAATCCTCAAATTTTGAGAAAGAAATATTGTTTAGCTGGCAGCATGGCTAAAGCGTTAGAGCACCCACCTAGCAAGTGCAAGGCCCTGAGTTTAAACACCAGTGCTGCCAAAAAGAAAAACAGAAAGAAAATGTTCATTTCTTTGGACTCTTAGTTGAAAGCTGAAGAGAAACGTGGGAGAACAGGTGCAGAACCAAGCTGAATGAAGCATGGGGAAGGATGCTGAAATGTGCTACATTATAGTGCTGAGAATCTCAAAGAGTGCCAAGTGAAGGGGGAGGGGAGATAGCAAAATGGATGGGAACTGGCCGGAGACAGTGGGTAATTCCAGCCCACTAGTCAGGAATCTCTACCATGCAGAGCACAACAGGCAGGAAGGACTGGACCATCTCAGAAGCGTCAGCAAAACACCTTATCAAATTCAACTGATGAGAACGTCATGCAAGGATTCTCCTAGATGATGGGTACAGGAAGGTTTCTTGCACTAACCTCTCTACTTTTATGTATGCTTGAAATGTTTCATTAAAGTATTCTTTGACCAAATGGGAGCTTATCCTGGAAATGCATAGCTAAGTCAATATCTGAAAATCAATCAATATAATGTACCATATTAACAGATTAAAGGAAAAATCATATGATTTTATGATTTTTAGTGGAAAATCCCAAGAAAGCTACAAAAAGCTAACAGCCAGTTTTGCGAGGTTGCAAGATACAAAATCAACATACAAAAATAATAGTTTCTATATGCTCATAATGAACTGATTTTTAAGGTTTAAGAAACAGTACCATTTACAAAAGCATTCAAAAACACAAATTACTAGCCAGGCATAGTAGCTCACGCCTATAATCCTAGCTACTCGGGAGACAGATATCAGACAATCACAGTTCAAGGCCAGCCCAGGCAAACAGTTTACAAGACCCTATCTCAAAAATACCCAATACAAAAATAGGGCTGGCAGAGTGGCTCAAGTGGTAGAGCACCTGCCTAGCAAGCATGAGGCCCTGAGTTCAAACCCCAGTACTGCCCCCCTCCAAAAACAGCTTGGTGCAGTGGTACATGCCTGTCATCCCAACTATGCAAGAAACAGGAAGCATAAATAGGAAGATCACAGTCCAGGCCAGCCTGCACATAGGGCAAAACCCTAGTCAGAAAATAAGTAAAGCAAAAATCACTGGTGGTGTGACTCAGGTGGTAAAGCATCTGCCTAGTAAGCACAAGGCCCTGAGTTCAAAACCCCCCTAACACTACCAAAAAAGTACATAAATATAATTCTAACAAAGTATATATAGGAACTGCATGCTCAAAACTACTATTCCCTGATAAAAGAAATCAAAGAATACCTAAATAAATGGAAAGTATACCATTGTGCGTGGACTGGAAAACTCAATATTGTTCAGTTGTTAACTCTATCCAGATGGACGTATAGGATCAACATAATCTTAATCAAAATCCTGGAAGACATTTTTGTAGAAACTTACACACTGATTCTAAAATGGAAAGGAAAAAGACCTAGAACAGCCAAAAGAATTTTGAAAAAGAATAAAAAGTTAAGGAATCATACTACCTGACTTTAATACTTAATAAAGCACATTTTTGTTTTCAGTTAGCTTAACCATAGAAACTTAACTTTCCCAAATGAATTAACTTGCATATCTTGTTAGGTATGGGTGGAGGTTAATTATGTTTCTGCATATGGATGTCCAGTTTTTTTCACCACCATTTCTTGAAAAAATTATTCTTTCTTCATTGAATTACCTTTGCACTTTTGTTGAAAATCAATTGACCATGTTTGTTGGTTCATTTCTGTACAACTGGGTGCTGTGGTACATACCTGTAGTCCCAGTTACTCAGGAGGCAGAAGCAGAAGGAGTATGAGTTCGAGGCCAGCCTGGGAAACATAGTGATCCTCCCATCTCAAAAAATAATAATGGTAATTCTGTATACTCTATTTAATTCTGTTGATCTGTATATCTGTTCCTTGGCAAATACTACACAGTTTGATTATTGTTGCTGGTGCTTAGGGTTCTTGTGTTTAGGAGATTCTGCCAAAGTCTTTTAACTTTTCTTATTTATAATAATTATATTAATAACTTTTGTTAGTTGCATAAAATTAGAATATGCAGATAAGTCATGTTTTTCACTAAGTAAGAGACTGACACAAATTGTAGCAAGAGATGTCAACACATGCTAACAGATGATAGAATTGTGCTTGGTACCTAAGAGGTAGAGTATTTGCCTAGCATGCATGAAGTCCTGTGGTTGACATCTTGCACCCCAAAACAATGATGTAACATGTCAAAAGTGGATAAAGAAAAGCTGTTGCCACAAATACGAATTGAGGAGGTGAATCAGTGCAATAAGGAAGAAGTTCAAGTTTTTTTGTTGTTGTTGGGGTGTGACTGGGATTTGAACTAGGGCTTTATGCTCGCAAAGCAGGTGCTCTACTGCTTGAGCCACACCTCCAGTCCATTTTGCTCTGGTTATTTTGGAGATGGGATCTCATGAACTTATTGCCCAGGCTGCCTCAAACCTCCATCCTCCCATTATCAGCCTCCCAAGTAGCTAGGATTACAGGCGTGAGCCACCAGCACCTGGCTCAAGTTCTTTAACAATAGCTACTTACATTGCACTTTGAGGTATGTGTTAAGATTTCAATAATGAGTACTGCTTCACAATATTTCTGTGAAAGATGTAGGACTATCAACACAACTTTACGGATGAGGATTAGGCCTAACAGGAAAACTGGCTAACAAATTAGCCACTCGGAAACTAACTTCAGTTGTAGAGTCATTTTCATTTTTTAAATTTTTGTGAAAAATTCTGCTGTGATAAGATATACCATTTTAAATTTTATTTTTTTAGAGATATTTATTTTATTTATTTTTTGGCTGTACTGGGATCTGAAGTCAGGGCCTCACACTTGAGCCACATCCTCGGACCCCATTTTAAATTTTCTAGTTTTTCTGACTGGTGTGAAGATTGTGATGGATGCTTGGTTTGGTAATGTTAATACTTAGCATATTCTTCTGCACTGACCCAGTGTCACAGCACAACAAACAAAGCTTGGGCTACTTAATTAAATAACCAGATAATCTTGTGCCTTAAAAGCACAACATTCAAAGTCTCCCACAACAATGCCAAGATTCCATGGTCAGATGTTTTTTAACATCTGGATTCAAGCCATCTTCTGCCTCAGCCATGCTCACCTTTCTTTTTCTTTTTTTCCTTAAAGAGGAATTAACAGAACAAAGAAAACTTTTTTAGCACCAGGATTAGGAGTGCAACAGTCTTTACTGCTAAGTGTGTCAGTATGCCTGTTACTACCCTAGTGTTAGATGTAATGTCCTAACAGGGTTCTAGTCAATGCATTTGGCTTGACTAATTTCCAAAGCATAACTTACTCTAATGTGATGCACACCATTCACTTTCCCAATCTGCTGTTCAATGGTCCAAACACAGGAACTGCATGTCATTCCTTCAACAGAGACGATAACAGAATTCACACCCATACTTGGATCCATTTTGATTTCTTCTTCACATTCCTGTTAGAAACAATAAACTTGTTAATTTAGCCATGGAAATAATCTTTGTTCAACTTTCCCCTGACCAACACAGTTGAAAACGTGCCAGTAACAAAACATAGTCAGCATATTTTTATACTTGCTTAGGAAAAGGTTTACTCGTCTTGGATATGGTAAAGAAAAGTTGTCTAAGCTAACTAAAAACAAAAACACACAAGCTTAAATAATAAAAGTGACTAGTCTCATTGAGTGCTTTCCTAATTACTGAACATTTCCCCACACGTAATCTTATTTAATATTGGAAGAAGACAGAATGAAGAACTAAAAATGCCAAAAACCTTCACAATAGTCAACAACGGCCTACGTGACTATCCATGCCTGCCCACCTCAAAGTGACCTGTCCTACAATCACCAAACCTTTCTCCATGCCAGTCAGACCGGCCTCCTAGCTGTACCTCATGGCAAGATGACTCCCACCCCATGGCCTTTGCTTTAGCTATTCTCTTGGTCTAGGACTTTCTCCTTCCTAGTGTCCTTCAAGTCTTTGGCTCTAATCTAACCTTCTTAGTGAGGCCTACGTTGACCACTTTATTTCAAATTGCAACCTGCAACCCTTCCATGCACATATCTCCATTCCTCGGACCTCTACTTTATCTTTTGGTTTTTCATAGAGCTTGCCACCTTCTAATGTACTCCAGAATTTGCATATTTATTGTTTATTAACTTATGCTCACAAATTCTTTGTTACTCCTTCTTTCAAGAAGCAAAACTTAACTCCTTTCACCCTGAGTGTGCCCTAGACTTTGTACTTGCTTGTAATGAACAGACTATGGTGGAAGTGACAAAGTATGACTTCTAAGACTAGGTCATAAGAGGCACTGTGGGAGAGGGGGGTAAAGGGAAAGCCTTGTGGATTTCTCCTTGTCCTCCCTCTGTAATCACCCCGTCTAGGGTTTATGAAGTCATGCAAGCAGCCTTATGGAGAGGTTTAATGGTTAGGAACTGAAGCCTCACAACAATAGCCAGGTGAATGAAGTGTCAAAAAACTTGCCCATTTAAGGTGCTGCACTTCAGAGGCTTTTAGTGTGTTCACAAGGATGTGTAAGGATAATGACTGTGTGGCTGCACAACATTTTCACTTACCACAGAAAGAAATCCCACAGTCACTAGCAGTTGCTTCCCCTTCCCTTCTATCACAGCCCATGGCAAACACAAACTTACTTCCTATCTCTATAGATTTGCCTACACTGGTCATCTCCTAAAAATGGATTCATTCAATATGTGGCTTTTTATGTCCAGATTCTTTCACTTGACATGTTTTCAAGGTACATCAACAAATTGAATGGATTGGTACTTCATTCTTTTTGTGTTCTTGCTTTTTGGTGGTACTGGGATGTGAACTCAGGGCCTTGCTCCTCCTATACAGGTGCTCCACCACTTGAGTCATGCCCCCAGCTCTTTTTTGCTTTACATATTTTTCAGATAGAGTCTCTCATTTTAACCAGGACTGGCCTCACACCACGATCCTCTTACCTAATGCCTTCAGTCTAGCTGGCATTATACGTATGTACCACCACATCCAGCATGTTTGTTGAGATGATGTCTTGCTAACTTTTCACCTAGGCTGGCCTCAAACTGCAATCCCCTTATCTCCACCTTCCAAGTAGCTAAGATTGCAGGCTTGTGCCACCAGGTCCAGCCCCTCATTGTAGTTTTGATTCATATTTCCCTAATTACTAGTGATGTCACGCAGTTGTCCCTGGGTATCACGGGGATTGATTCCAGGACCTTCCATGCACACAAAAATCTGTGGGTGCTCAAGTCTCATATACAATGGCATAGTATTTGATATATAGATTGTGCAATCCTCCCATATGCCTTAAATCATCTCTAGATTACTTATAATACACAATATAGTATAAATCTCCATCAAATAGTTGTTCTGCACTGTTCAGGGAATAATAACAACAAAAAGTCTACATGTTTTCAGTACAAACACAACAACTCTAGGCCTAACATTTTCTATCCATGGTTGCTTGAATCTGTGGATGTGAGCCCTCCAATATGGAGGATGGACTGCAGAGAATTATTATGGGGTGTAGCCCACACCTATACTGTGTGAGATACTGGCGTATCTCTCAGGCTTACTAAGGAACTGAAAGAAATCAGTTAAGCAGAAAGGCACTTTTAAAATAACTCAATAATAGTGGACTTGGGGCATAGCTCAAACGGTAGAATGCTTGACTAGCATGTGTGTCCTGGGTTCAATTCCCAGCACTGCAAAGAAAATAATAAAGAAATAAGTGAACTGAATAATTCACCTTGAACTACATACTGGGCAGGACAGAATGTCTGAACACAAATGAAAAATTATATTAGTATAGCTACTTTTACCACTACATCCTGATTTAATAATGTCAAATCAACTATGAATACATGGATATTTCCTTCTGCTTTCAGAATTCACTTGCACTGTTCTCAAAGCCCTACATAAATTGGGCCTTACACACAAAACTTCAGAGAAACTCCATCTCACTCTTACTACTCTATTATACATATGTACACAATTCTAATTGATTTTGTAATATATGTTATATTCAGTTTTTAAATTTTAAATGTCCTACATATATATAGTGAGAAAGAACAAAAATGTATTTGTCTGTGGGGACTACAGGAGGTGGGAGAGGGAGAGAAAATGTTAGAGAATGAAAAATATTGAAACAACCCATCTCTATATGAATATAATATATTGCTCTGTACAGCAAGCAGCTGAATATTAAATAGGGGAGCATGATGATAAAGAGTAACAGGGGAGGGATTAATTTGATTGAAGCATGATATGTTAAGGCCTGAAGTACCAAGACAAAACCCCCTTGAACTATCAATATACACTTAAAAATGAAGGGCAGGAGGGAAAGATAAATCTTTTCCAGGGGTGGGTACCAGTGGTAGGAAGTGGGCACAAGGAAAGAGTGAATGAGGGTATGGTGGATATATTTTGTATCCATATATCAAAACAGAAAGAATGAATCCTGTTGAAATTGTTCTAAGAAAGGAGGGAAGGGAGAAGAGGGAGAGCGATGGAAGGGGTAAATTCAACTAAGATATATTGTAAGCGCATATGTACATATCACAAAATATCCCCTGTACAACTATTACATGCTAATAAAATAATTAAAAAATTTTAAATGTCTTAAAGATAGGTACAAAACCGGAAATATCTTTTGTAACTGGCCACTGCCTTTGGCAAAATGACTCACAAAACAGGGTAAGAACATAAATAATTTTTTATGGTGGGAAAAGATAGGCTTTGGGAAATCACAGTATCAAAGAAACAAATCTGGCTTGCAGCTATTAGTAATGAGGGACTCTAAGAACAAGAGCATCCAACAACACTAAGGGAAGTAACTTCTAGCTAGTAAAGTGTTTTAACCACTCCCTAAACCCAGATGGCAGTCCTCATCAGTAACACCGCTTGTAGGAGGTTTAGAGACAAACTGCAGAAGTTGAGTATAAAACATGGCATGGTGTGTGATTGTTCAAAACCACATCTTATAGTTGATCACAGAAGCTCAAACAGTATTTTAAAATTGCCCTGAAGTAATTGGTTCTCATGATTTGGGGAATATTTCTAGATTCTTCATAAATCATCACACAGTAAAATTTAATTTTTTGGGGGTAGTTTTATCTGGACAATTTTTGACCCTCATGATGATGAAGGAAATGAAAGTGAAAACCACGATGGAATACCATGTATCTCCATCAGCTAGGTAAAAATTTCAAAGTCACAATCCCAAGTGTTGGCGATGAGATGGGGCAGCATCTCTTATTTGACTGCATACTGTAAATCAGCACACTCATAGAAATGACTTGGTGATTCCTGGTAGAGGATACGAACAGAACAGAATTAATATTTTCACTCTTCTGCCAGTTACCCTAGGAGAGCCTTAGAGATGTGCTCAAGAAAACATAAGCAAAAACATTCATTGCCACAGTGTTCTAAATAGCTAACACTTAGGAAATAACATAAATGTCAATCAACAAGAAAGGGGAAGAACAAGTTGTAATAGAATATAATAGATCACAATATAGCAGTGAAAATGAATGAGCTAGAACAGTGGTTCTCACAGGGAGAGGGGATGATTTCACCCCCAAGAGGACATTTGGCAGTCTAGAGACATCTTTGCTTGCCACAACTCAGGATAGGGATAGAAAGTGTTATTGGCGTCTAGGAGGTAAAGGCCAGGGATACTGCTACAAACCCTACAATGCACAAGAAAGGCCTTCACAACAACCAATGATCTGGACCCCAATGTCAATAGCACTGAGACTGAGAAACACTGAATTAGAGCTACACATAGCAAGGAGGATAAATCCCACAAACACAGTTGAGGGAAAAAGACTTTCAGGAGGATACCAAAGTTTAAAAACATAAAACAAAGTTTCTATTGTATTTGTATGCACACATATGCAGTATTAGTAGCCAAAATATAAAATTATTCATAGGAATAATCAACTCCAAAATCAGGTGATGGGAAGGAGGAAAAGGGGTGCAGTTTGAGAACACAGAAAGAAATTCAACAAGGTGTTTCTCTTAGGTTAAATAATGGACACACAAATATGTTATAGGATCCCCTCTATTCTTTCTAGGCCTTTATTATAATAATATTTTGGGTGGAAATGTGAATTGAACTCATGGCTTCACCTGTGCTAGGTAAGTCCTCTCCACTTGAGCCATGCCCCCAGCCCCTTTTACTTTTAATTATTTTTCAGACTGGGTCTCGTGTTTTTTGCCTGGGCCAGTCTAAACTGGGCTCCTCCTACCTATACTTCCCATGTATCTTGGATTATAGACACTCACCACCAGGCCCAGCTTCTTTGTTGATAGGGATCTCACTAACTTTTTGCCTTGGCTGGCCTCAAACTATGATCCTCACAATCTCTGCCTTCTGAATAGCTAGAATTACACCTGTGAGCCACAGCACTTGACTATAATATTTTTGAGGTATAGTCTTACTATG